AAGTCCCGCTGCACCTCCTGCTATGGGGCTAAAGTAAACCACCCCCGAGAGCTGAAAGGAAGAAAAAAAACACTGTTTAAGAGAAAAATAGTATGTAGATAAATAACAACCATGCAGAACACTCAGGCCTCCTCCATGGAGAACGTCCAGCCTAAACATCTGGCTGGCTACATATAAGGAAGAGACTGTGTTTGGGTTAAAGCAAGGAGAGAAAAGGGGAATTCATAGTGAAACAGCCAACTAACAGGTCAGCTACTTGGGAAACCGTCAGAGACTGCATGAGATTTTTTTAAGATCGAATGTTACCAGGAAAAAGCTGTGTGAAAAGACACATCAGGAAATTCTATTAAATCTCACTGCTAGGCTAATTTGCATGAGTAAATATAAGGTGCATAAGGGGAAAATGTGTTGAAAATTAGTCAGTAGAGTAAGTCTGGAGGCATTTTGCATCAGGTTGTGCAGTTTAAAGTAATGGAAACTGCGGGTAAAACCTCTTATTTGCTGCTTGATGAAGAAAAAGGTGTTATTCCCCGTGGGCAGAGCAGAGTAATGGGTTTTGGTTGGTTGTAATGAGGTTGCTAAATTCATGTTGGACCAGTGCACTGAGCCAATTTCAACAAACACAGGAATGAAAGAAAGGTGGACTATGGATGGGGTTGATTCACAGTAGTCTTTACCATAAGGAGTATATTAGGAGAAAAAAAAAAACACCACTCCATCTGCTAATGTGATGCTGAAGGTGCTGCCTATAAGATTAAAATTCTGATTTGTGGTAAAGACGTCGGGGCTTTTGTAAATGTCGGGGGCTAATTGCTTTTACCGCAATTGCAGCTCAAGAATGTCAAATTTTATTAAACACCTGTTAAGAAATAATTGCTGGGCTGAGTTTGCTAGATAGATCAAATAGACCTGAAAGGAAATAAGACATAGTGGTCTAGCTCAGTGATTCCCCAAAACATAATCACATAGATATACAATATATTGGCAAATGGCACAGCGGTTCCATGAAATGATTCGCAATGACAAGAACATACTTGTGTGATCTTTATTTAATTTTATTATCACAAGAGTAGATTGCACAACATCCCGCACACACACCTGAGGTAATTCTAGCTCATCCAACCCATGAGTTGTACTATCAGACTGCATTAAATCTACTTTAACTGTGGGACACTACATACAACAATAACAAATGTGTAAATTTTTTTAAATCTTTAAGTTAAAGGTTATGGATAAGAAGTTCAATTATTACCTAAAAACTATTAATATATACTGAAATATCAATTAATAGATATTAGTGAACAGGTTTTTCTCTAAAACAGCAATCTGTTACAAAGTTACTAAATCAAATCTGATTGTTGAATTTTCTTTTTCATCTTTGCTCTTTGATATACTATTGTACTGTTTAAGCTGAACCAACTACTGCTTGACATGCAGCTGTCTTGTGTTTGCACATCTTCCAGACCTACATCACAGATATTCACAGTGAACTGTTGCTGTTGGCTGCATGCAGGGTGTGACTGGTGCCAAAGGCCTCTCCTTGGTGTAAAGCGGTTTCCTTAATTTATGCTGGGTCAGAAACAGAGGTCATACTTTTGAGATGAGAAAAAAAAGCCTTCTATGGTCACACGCTAGCTTTCCAGCTGCCAGAAAGTGTGATCAAACAGTTCCCAATTAGAACCATATAATTTGGTAACATTGTGATATTAAAGCTGGCAGCTTGGTTTTCCCAAGCAAAACTAACTTCATGAGCGGCTGACCATAATTTTGGGTTCTGTTGCATTTATGCAGAGGGGTTATGGTGCAGTAGGAGATTGTGTGCATGAGTGTGTGTGTGTGTGTGTGTGTGGGGCAGGGTTGATAGGAGTTGCTCCAGAGACAGAGAAGTATTCTGGAGAAGAAAACGGTTGGTAAGCATTCAAATATGCATTCGTTTGGCCCAGAAACAACATGTCTTGAGGATGAAAGGGCAGAGAGTAGGTAGGAACATGAGTGCGGGGGAGGCTTTCTGGTTTTTGATTGTCACTTTTAAGGGTGGTGGGGGGTGGAGTACAGGAAAAAAAAAACCTTTGACATGCATCATACAGACTAACTTTACAATTGCTTTCAGTTGTCATAGTGACAAGAAAAAATAAACATAAAAGCAAGTATGACAACTTGTTACTGTTGAAAAAAAAAAAGCCAGATGGGATGAGAAGTCTCAGCATAAATTGTGGTTTAGCATTTTGGGAAATACACTTTCTTTCTAGCTCTTTGATAAGAACATTGATACCACAATTAT